CACCCCCGTCTCGAACGTGTGTGCTCTCTGTCTGTCTGTCAGCTGTTTCGGCTAAGTCGTTTTGTACCGGATTTCAATGTTAGTGGCAAAACCGCGGAACCAAAAATGGCGTTTAATTTCGCGCACCTGCTGTCCGCCGCCTGCGGCGGCGCTCCGCGCCGCTTGGGGCGCCTGCGGCGCCCCTGGGCGCGCTGCGCGCGCCTGTTTTGGGGAGGCTACCAGCACCGAAAAATTGCCTATTTTTTGAACGGACTCGCCCAGCCACGAATGCCACGGCTTGTGAACCAAGCCGTCGCGGGCACTCCTGTCGAGGTGGTGGTGCTCTGCTCGGTGGAGGGACACGAGCTTTGCGGAGAGGCGCGCCCATACGCTGTTTACCGCGTGCTCGTCAGCGAGGGCGAAAGGGAGTGGCGCATCCGCCGACGCTGGAGCGATCTGCGGATCCTGGTGGCAGAGCTGAATGCCAAGCACGCCGACAATCTGCGCGCGTCGGGAGTGCCGATCCCGGACTTCTCCTCGCACGGACTGCGCCTTGCCCACCAGATGCTCGAGCTCAAGTTCCTCAACTCGCGCGCCGCGTCGATGCAGAGTCTGCTCCGCGCGTACCTCTCTGCGCTGCCCGTCTCGCTCGTCTCCGCCGCCGGCCCGGAGCCGCTCCTCCGCTTCCTCTCCGCTAGCTCGCCCGACGCGGGCAGCTCGCAGACTCCGGCAGCCACGCCGGCTGCCACGCCAGCTGCCACGCCCCGCGGCTCCGTCTCCGCCTCTGCCTTCTGCGGGGACGAACAGCTGGGCGCGGTAGCAGAGGGCGCAGGGCTGGCGGATCAGGCCGCGGTGGAGCGGGCAGACGCCGAGTCCCAGACGGGCCACGGATCGCAAGGACCGAACGAACGGGAGCGAGACGATCGTCCAACCGCAACTTGCGCGCTGGGCCTCCCGCCTTCTTTCGCCCGATCCCGCGCAGCCGGCAGCCGCCGTTGCTCCGCTGCCGGCGTCGCCGTCGCAGCGCTCGCTCTCCTTTTCGCCCTCAGCCTCACCGGCGTCCGCCTCCCCTCCGGCGTCCGCCTCCCCTCCCCTCCTCCCGCCGCGCCCCTCCCCGCGCCCGCACCGCCGGCGCCGGAGGCCGAAGCGGGGTCCGGCGGCGGGCGCCGCCCGCGAGGGCTGGTGTCCCTCCTCTGCCGTCGGTCGTCCGGGGCCGCGGCGGCCGGCGGCGGCCGCTCCCTCTGCGGCAGCGGCGCAGAGGTGCGGCCGCTCGACACCTCGCACCCGCTCCTCCGGCCCTTTGGCTCGGGGGCAACGATGCGGAGGGCCGCCCTCCTCGTGGCCGTTAGCGCCGCCGCCCCCGCTCTGCAGCCCGCCGCGCTGCGCGGTGCGGCGGCCGCCTCCCGCGCCGCCGCCCGCACCGGCGCCTACCTCTTCCCGTTTGCGGCCCGCGGCGGCGGCGCGGTGGCCCCGGCGGCGGCGGCAAGCGCTGCCGCGAGGGCCCTTTTGCCGTCTGGCGGGCCTGCCGCGGCGGCAGGCCTTGGTGCCAGAGGAGCGGCCGTGGCGGCCGCCTCTCCTGTGGCGGCGGCGGCAGAGGTGGCGGCGGCCGCGGTTGAGAGCGGGGCGGCAGGAGTGGCGGCAGCGCCAGCAGTGGCGGCGGCAGGCATGGCGGCAGGAGTGGCGGCAGCGCCGGCGGCGGCAGTGCCAGCGGCGGTGGCGGCAGCGCCGGCGGCGGCAGTGCCAGCGGCGGCGGCGGCGGCGCCTGCGGCGACGGGGGCGGCGGCGGCGGCAGCGCCTGCGGCGGCGGCGCCTGCGGCGACAGGGGCGGCGTCGGCTGCCACCGCGTCCCGCTGGACGAGGGTGGCGGGCTCGCGCGGAGCGAACCGCCTCAAGCGGTGGGCGGTGGGCGGCGTCGCCACCGCCATCCACTTGCTGCGCAACCGTTTTGTGAAGCTGCGCAAGTCTGCTGCTGCTGCTGCTGCTGCTGCCACGGCAACACCCATCCCCCGGCCTCCTCCCGCCACCGCCAGCCTGACGCCCCCACCCGCCGTCGCCGCCGCGGGCACGCCCAACAACCCGGGCGTGCTGGGCGTGGTGATGGGCCTGCTCGGTGCCCTGTTTTGGTAGGTTGCGAGGTCGCTAGGGGCAGAGAGTGCACTGCTTGGATGCTGCTTGCAGATTTTTTGGTTGCGCCGCGCTGCTCGCATGATAAATTGATGCCGCCGCAGGCCCGCGCCTGTCGTCTGTGACGCACACAACGCATGCATGCATGTTCCAAGTTCCATGAGTATCTCAGCGTGTCGAGCTGCGGTCGTCGGCGCTGTACAAAAGAAAAAATATGGTGTCCACGTGGTGCGCTCTCCGACGGGCGTGGAGTGCACGAGAGGGCCTGATGGCGGTCGAGCTCGAGGACGCCCAGCGGAATCCGTGATGGTCGCGGCCGACGCCGTGTTCAGGTTCACGGCTGGCGAGGCAATGCAGACCGAGGACGACGACGAGGACGCCGACCGCTCCGAGGAGTATTCCGACGACGACGGGAGGGCGTCCGACTTGTAGCTGGCCTCACCCATATCTTACCCTCTGCCCCCCCCCTCCTGCTACCCCCCAGGCTAGATGGAGTAGTCACAGATAGCCCCACACAGCCCCTTACCCCGGGTACTACCCCTTCACCCTCGCCTCGCTGTGTTTCTGAACACGTAGACGACCACGCTGTGGGGGTTGTGTTATAGGAGTAGGAGTGGGGTGCAGGTTGCTCACCCACGGCACCGGGCCGGTGCTTGCACTTTGAATGCCGTGGGGCTCCTGCCCGTGTCCGGGCGTGGAGATGCGAGGGTCGCCCCCCCTTGCCCCACCACTTTGTGTGTGTGGAGACGTTTACCTTACCTTACCTTAGGGTGTCTAGGGATGTGGTCGGTGCACGCCGTGCACGGTGGTCGGCCAAACCTAACCTGGAGCTCGATGCCTATGGACGGCTTGGTCTGGCGGCGCAGCAGCCAGCACGGCACTTGAGGCAAACCCCGCTTTGGGACCTATTTGAGGCGGTGTGGCGGCACTCACAGGGCACGGGAGGCTCTCCCGCCGCGAGAACCCGGGTATTTCTCGGGTATACCTGAACTTTTGCAGGTACTAGCTGAGGGGCCCATGACAGCCATAACACCCATAACATGTTATGGGCTGCTATGCCCAGAGAGCTATAACACCATAACAATAACTGTGAGTGGGGACAAACGTGTGTGTGTACCGCCACCTGTACAGTGATCAGCGCGTGGCTGTCCTGCTCAGAGCCGGGGGGGGGTGGGGCACAGAGGTTTGTACGTTGGTCAGCATGATTGGAGTCCTTCCTTAAATAAATAAAAACATGAAAAGGAGTCCTTCTAGGCCGAGCGTTTTTGATCTCTGGGTCTGTGGGGGGCCGAGCCGCCTCCTGAGCCCTGGCTGTCAGGCTGTCAGGTGCTGTCCGGTGATCTGTCGGGCTGTCGGGCAGCTGTCAGGCACTGTCAGGTGCCTCTGTCAGACCAGCTGTCGGGTGCTGTCAGTGCTGTCGGGTGCTGTCGGGTGCGTGTCTGACATCAGAGGGGCTCTGTAGCTGTCGGGTGCTGTCAGAGCTGTCGGGTGTTGCTGTCAGACGCTGTCGGAGCTGTCAGAGCTGTCAGGCTGCTCTACTGCTGTCAGACGTTGGGCTGTTGCTGTCAGGTGCTGTCAGGTGGTGCTGTCGGGGTGCTGTCAGGCTCTGACACACACCAGCCACACTTATGACACTATCAAGAGGAGACCAGCAGGACTCTACTGCACACAGCACACATACTCTAGTCTCTACTCTGCCTCCGGTCCCACCAAGCACCATCTTCTTCATGGTGGACGTCACCACATCTTCTTGTCTGCCGCACTGAGAGAATAGCAGAGAGGCAGGCTGGAGTGCTTCTTCAGGTACACCTTGCTGATGATCTGGTAGTTGCTGGTCCAGCGGAAGGCCTCCCCATCGTTGTCGCTCGTCAGCTTGTAGTACTTGCACGCTCTGTTCTGGTAGCGCGGGCCGTCTCTGGGGGGGTCCCGTCACCCTTCACCTCACGGTACCACCGGAGGATAAAGAGGCCCTTGGGGTCGTTGATGAAGACCCCGGTGCTGCGCTGACTCATCGAGAGCTGGCGCAGGTACTCTGCGCTCGAGCTGCCAGTGGCGCGGCGCGCGTCTACCGTGCCGTCCGGCGAGACGGCCACCTGTCGGGTGCTGGGGAGCGCAGCTGGCGGCGCAGGCGCAGGCGGCGGCGGCGGCACAAACGGCGGCGGCCACCCCCACCCAGACGCTGTAGGCATATGACTGTAGGGCCCCAGAAGGCTAGCTGGTAGCTTCTCATTTGTAGTAGCACAGCCGCGGGTCCGCAGAGGTGGGGCGGGAGGGTTGAGAGAGAGACCCTAGGAGAGACCCATGAACATCCCATGACTACATGTCTTTGCATGTAATAGTTTTGTTATACCCTCATGGGGCACAAGAAAGAGGCTGCACGGCCTGTGTATGGTCTGTGCTGCTGTCGGGCTGGTCGGGCTGTCGGGCTGTCAGCGCTGCTGTCAGGCCACTGTGTGCTGTCGGGCTGTCGGGCAGCTGTCAGGCTGTCACGTTAGGGCCTGTCAGCGACAGAGCCCCTCTGATGTCAGACTCTGCTGTCAGGCTGTCAGATACGTGCTGTCAGGCTGTCAGAGAAGTGCTGTCAACGCTGTCACAGGCTGTCGGGCACTGTCAGGCGCTGTCCGGGGTTTGCTGTCAGGCTGTCAGACCAGGGCTCAGGCCGCCTCGGGGTGGCGGGGCGGGCGGGCGTTTTGAAAAACAGAAAACAGAAAACAAGAGGGGGCCCGGGGCCCAGGCCCCCCACTGGGAGTAGAAAATTTACGCCCAGGGGGGCCAAGGAGGCGGCGCGGGGAAGCAGCATCAGGTGAGAGCAGGAAGGAAGGATGGCGCTTAGGGTCGGCTTTGAACAAGGGTTTCCAGGTTTTAGATCAGTATTTGGTGTCGGCACACATCCCCACATGAGGTCAGCGGCGCGCAGTGCCTCTCTCTCGCCTGATTTTGGCTGTTTTCGCGCTTGTTTTTGTTTTCAGTCTAAAGGGTGCGGATGCTGGGTTGACGGAAATCGAGGGACGCGACCCACCTCGCCACAGACGGTCCCGCGCCTCGCCGCTAAGTTTGCGGCACGCCCCGCACCGTCCGCTGTGCCGCGTTTTTTGTCCGGAGTGAAAAGTCCAACGCGCTCGTCGGTGGCGGCTTCCCTCAACCTGCGCCGCGCTCGGCGAACCTCGACAGCGCCTTCGGTGGCATGCAGCTCTTTGCGACAGAAGCCTGGAGAGCAGCTCCTCTGCTGCTCACACACTCTGCACAGTTGACACAGCCTACTGTGCGGCTGCCACAGCTGTGACAGCGATGGGCTCGCCCTCACTGGCCCTCAGTCACTTGTGCTGCGGCTTGTGTGAGCGACACTGCTCAGCGACTGCCGGCACACTGTGAGACCATGGGTGTGAGGTAAAACCACGCTACCAGCGCTTGGTCACATCGGCCCCGAGGTCAGATCCATCTACTCTGTTGATGACAAGACTTGTCTACCGGCTGGAGCCGAGCAGGAGGGCCCGGCGCACAACCCCTTGGTCAACTCACCCTCCACACCCCGTAGGGGGCCCGACCCCCTCAGAGGTCAGAGGCGGCGGGCGGGCGCCCACAGACCCAGAGATCAAAAACGCTCGGCCCCCTAATTAAAAGGTCCATAAAATAATGCTCTTAAGATTATTTTACACGTGTTATGTTGCAGGTGTTATTTTATGCCGACACCCCGCGACACCGCCCGCGCCTGGCGCCCTCCTAAGTAACATCTTCTTGGCAATCTCCGCCTGCGACTCGCCGCCGCCGCCCTCAAAGTCGGGCGCCTCGCTGGGCGGCGCCTCCGCCGCCTCGGGCATCTTGATGGCCGACTCTCCCGTCTCCACCTTCTCGGACTGCTGGCGGAGGCGCTTGACGAGGGTGGGGTCCTACAGAAAAAGAAATGCGCGGGTCCGACAAAGAAAGGTGGGGCCGTCCCGCCGCTCGGCGAGGGGTGTGGGGTGTCCTTCTCCGTCGAGTACTCCGACGCGATCCGTGAGACCGGGTCCTTGATGGCGGACTCTCCCGTGACAACCTTGTCTGACTGCTCGGCGAGGCGCTGCTGGAGCTTCTCGTCCGATCCGCCCGCCGGCGACCCGCCGACTTGTGAGTCTCCGAGCAAGTCGAGCACGACCCCGCCCGCGTCCTTTGCATTTTGCGAAAACATCTTCGCGGAGAGCACCTTCCACACGTGCAGCTGTGAATAGTCCAGCTGTGAACAGTGCAGCTGTGAATAGGAGCACCTTCCACACACCTGCACGCCGTCGAAGCAGAGCGATGCCGCCGGCACGACCGCCACAAAGTGCGCGTCGGACAGGTCGGTCGCCTGTCCACAGCCGCAGCGCCGTGAAGAGCTGCCGCCCCCCTTCTTTGTCACAGCCGGCGCGTCGGAACGGCGTCGCCACGCCCAGCCTCACTCGCCGCACAGGCTGCGCGGACGGGGAGACCCGGCGCCCAGAATCCTAAGAGGGGCGCGCAGGATCCTGACCCGGACGATGGTGCGCTCAAGATCGCACTGTCTGAAGGGGGTGGCGCTGGGGATCTTGTGCCTCGGCAGCGGCCATGTGCAGCGCGTAGATCGCGACCGGCTTCGGCTCCTTTTGGGCGACGTGTGTGACAGTGCCGGGGTAGGAGCGCGACGCCTGTGGAGCGAGATTCGGCGAGATTCGGCGAGATTCGGCGAGATCCGGCGAGATCCGGCGAGATCCGGCGAGATCCGGCGAGATTCGCGTGGCGGTGTCCTCTCGGCTCCTCTCGGCTCCTCGGCCAATCTCGGCTCATCTCGGCCAATCTCGGCTCGTCTCAGAGCCTTGACAAAGTGCGTCCACGCCTCGTAGAACTTCGTCGAGCTCGGCCCACCCACGCCCTTCATCAGCTCGCTGCGGCCTGCACTTCGAGCAACTTGCGTCACGGAGGGAGACGCAGCGCCGTGTGTGAGGGATAGAGGCTGTGTGCAGAGGGGTGAAAGCTTCTCCCGGGTGGTCGAGCTGCTGCTGCAGCACGCGGAGATCGACAAGCAGGACATCACCGGATTCACCGCGCTGATTGGCGCCGCTTACTCCGGCCACCCCGCCGTCGTGCGGCGCTTGCTGCTGGCGGGCGCCAGAGCCCCTCTCCTTCTCTCGGCCGGAGCCCCGGGTTCCGAATCTCAGGGGTAGGTATACCGTACGGTCGCGGGGTAGGGGTACAGGGGGGGGGAGGGGAGAGATGTCGCTGCCACGCGGAATGTCCGCTACACGCCCAAAGCGTGGTGTCGAGGGTTGGTGTCGAGGGGGAGGGGTGTCGAGGTTTGGTGTCGAGGTTTGGTGTCGAGGTTTGGTGTCTCTCAGCTCTCTAGGCGCGCTGCGGCCCTGGTTGCGCGAGAGCTTCCACGCGGGCACCTGCAGGACGGTTTTCGGTGATGCGTCCGAGAAGGCTCTTGGAGGTTTCCCGAGAAAAGGCTCAGGGGCGGACCGGCGGCTCCATGTGCGTGTGCGTAGCCCCGCGGCGTGGAGAGTGCGTTGAAGTCCCACGCCCTAGTGCGTGTGTGTGTGTGTGTGTGGGTGGGTGGGTGCGGCATCGAACCGCGCGTGGGGGGGCACCGCGCACCTTGTCCACCTGCCGCGTCTCGAAGATTGCGAGTGCGCCTGCGCTCCACGGCGGCGGCGACGGCGGGCGGACAGGTTACCATACGCGGCGGCGGCGGCGAGCTCACCGTTGTGTGTGTGGGTGGGTGGTGGTGGCGGCGGCGGCGGTTGCGGAGTCAAGGCGCGGCGACGACGGCGGGGGAGCGGACGCGAGAGGCGCGGCGGGGTAGCGGCGAGAGGCGCAGGGCAGTGGCGAGAGGGGAGGGCGAGGGCGGCGGTCCGTGGAGAGGCGTCCAGGGCTCGAGGGAGGGCGAGGACGGCGGGATGAGGGCGAGGGCGGCGGCTGAGACGGCAGGCGCAGCGGGCGTCGGTGTGCGAGGGCGAGCGGGCGGCGGAGAAAGCGCGCCTTCTGCTGGCGAGTCGGCGGTGAGGTGCAGCTCGAGCGTGCCCTGCGAAGCGTCGTTGTAGATAAGAGACCCGTACACGCGAGGGACGGGAAGCGGCTCCTCGGTCTCGGTCGGGGCCTCGACGCGGCTGGAGGAGCAGCCCATCGGCTTAGGGGAGGCACAGCAACAGCGCGCACTTTCGCCGCAGGCGCCGTTTTTGCGCGGGGGGACGACCCTGCTCGATTTCCCCTCGGGGGTCCCTCAGCAGGGGGCCCCTGGATCCTGTACCGTTTTTGTTATGACCCCCCCCCCCCCCCCCCAATGAACACACCAGTGAGGGGGGGCGAGACGATCGAGGGGTCCCGTACCATGCGGAATCGACCCTATCAAGTGCTCAAGTGCTCAAGTAGAGGGATGGCTTTAGATGTGCAGGGGGGGTACCGAGCAGTGTGCAGCCGCTCCATTGCGTTTGTTTCATAACATCGAAGGCTAGCTCGTAGTAAGTAAGTAGTAGGCTAGCTCAAAAAAAGAATTTTAGACGTCTCGCACGACACAGGGCACGGCCACGGGACTGGCGCGCACTGGCACTAACACAGGTGCGCAAAAAGAGACTTGTTAGTCATTTTTTGCAAAATAACTAGGGTCGATTCCGCGTGGTACGGGACCCCTGATAGGGTCGATTCCGCATGGTACGGGACCCCTCGATCGTCTCGCCCTCCCTCACTGGTGTGTTCATGGGGGGGGGGGGGGGTCATAACAAACACGGTGCAGGATCGAGGTGCACGCTGCCAGAGCAGTGTCGTCCCCCCTCTCCCCGACGGTGATGGCGGTGTGACCGATCGAGCTACAAGAGGAGCTTGTTCAGCAGGATCCGGGGTGGTCAGGCGCACTACCTCACTGGGCCTGAGACCGCCGAGAGCTTCGAGCAGGCGCCCGGCGGGACGGGTTCCCCGCTTCGAGCGGGCAGATGCGGCCGGGGATTCGCTTTCTGAAATGTCTGCCTCCAAAGAGGAAACGACAAACCTGATCTCTCAGAATCACTCCGTACCATGCGGAATCGACCTGGAATCAACCCTTTCCAGTGCTCAAGTGTGCTCAAGAGGGAGTAGCGGAAAAAGAAGAGTCAAAAGTCCTACAGTCTCTATGGGCTGTGTCTGGAAGGGAGGGAGTGGGGTGCAGGGTCTGCTCACCCACGTGCACTGCCTTGCGCTTTGAATGCCAAAACATCTACTTTGTCACGCACACGCGCCAAGCTGCTTCGTCACGCGCTGCTTAGTAATGCTTAGTAATGCCGTACGTACAGCGTCATCGCGTCAAGTTTGCACCCAGCCCTGTAGCTGTACGTGGGGAAAGGAAATACAGTTTGTACCGTCGGGCCCCGAGGGGGAGGGGAAAGGAATACAAAAAGGCTGGTCCTATGGCACTAGGCATGTCGCAGGAGAGCACAACAAAGTGTGTGACAACATACACACATATATCGTGCCGGTGTCCCGGTCGTTGGTCTCACTGTCTCACTGACGCGATTCTTCAATCGCTGCGCACCCTCTAGCGTCGATACGCCGCAAGGCACGACAGTGGCCGCGCGGGACAGCGGGACCCTCTGCCCCTTCACAACCTGGACTCTCTGCGCCCGCAGTGGACACGCCCGTCAGCGGCGGCAGCGCACCCGCGCGCTCGAGCAGGCCGCGGCCCTGCCTCCGTCGACCCTCCCCTTCTCTCCGACTCGCCCTCCGAGATCGCGCGAGATACTCACGGCGCGTCCTGACGCCAGGTGGACGCGCCGCCCAAGGCCGGCGGCGCCGCGTCCTCAAAGTACTCCTATTTTGGACGTGTGGACGCGTCACCGGAGAATCCTCTGCCCGGCAGCAGCCCCGTGCCGCAGACAACGGCCGGCAAGACCTTTCCCCCGCGCCCGTCGGCTGTCGGTGCGTGGCGGTACTTTCGGCCCGTGCCGGCCTCGACGTAGAACTCTTCGCCCGTGGTCGAGTTCACCTAGATGTGAGCTGAGCAGGTGAGCTTCGCCACACTGACACCCAACGGTGGGGCGCGCGGGGGGGGGCGCGCGGGGGGGGGGGGGGGGGGGCACAACCCTCGGCCCGGACACGGCCAAGACCCTGGTACGGCACGTTGTGTGCAAGGGCCGGTGTGTTTCATTGTGTGCGTGCGCGTGTGGGTGGGGTGTGTGTTTTTGTTGTGGTGCGCGTGCGCGTGGGTGAGGTGTGTGTGTGTGTGTGTGTGTGTGTGTGTGTGTGTGTGTGTGTGTGTGTGTGTGTGTGTGTGTGTGTGTGTGTGTGTGTGTGTGTGTGTGTGTGTGTGTGTGTGAGGTGTGTGTGTGTGTCGCGCGCGTGTTGTCTCTCTCCACCTTGAGCTTATCGCGGGTGATCTTGCGGCGGCGGTCGTGCAGCTTGCAGTAGGCGGCGCCGGCGACGAGGTGGTACGGCGCGCCTATGCAACTCGTTTGTTGGTAGTTGTAATGAATAACGAGTGGACCGCGCCGGCGACGAGGTGGTATAGGCGTTCCCGCGGCGAGGGAGACGCCGCACTCTGCGCACTTGAAGCACGCGGAGTGGTAGCTCTTGTCACCTGCGAGATTGCGCCGAGGTTGCGCCGAGGTTGCGCCGAGGTTGCGCCGAGCAAGTTGCGGCGAGGTTGCGCCGAGATTGTGCCGAGCAGGTTAGCGCCGAGGTTGCGCCGAGATTGCGCCGAGATTGCGCCGAGGTTGCGCCGAGGTTGCGCCGAGGTTGCGCCGCGAGATTGGGCCGAGATTGCGGAGTGGTATAGAGCTCTCTTGTCACCGGCGACGACGAAGCCCGGGTCGGCGCGGCCGTCGATCAGCCGGCCGCACCCGGCGCAGAGGACGCCGTAGTCCTTGAGGTGGCAAGCGGTGTGCAGCGGCTTGCCTGCGCTTCAAGTCAGCATCGGTTTGAACGAATGAATGGTCGTCCTAGTTTGAGGTGGCAGGCGGTGTGCAGCGGCTTGCCTGCGCTTCAAATCAGCATCGGTTTGAACGAGCGAACGGTCGTCCACTTGACGTGGCCAGCGTGGTGTGCAGCGGCTTGCCTGCGCTTCAAGTCAGCATCGGTTTGAACGAATGGACCCGGTCGTCCACTTGACGTAGCCAGCGCGGTGAGTGTGTGCAGCGTGCCGTGAAGCATCGCAAAATCGCCGTCGATGGGCTTGCCTGTCTGGACAGGAGTGCTGGAGGGTCCATGTCTTGCTTTTGGGTAGTACGCCGCCGTCCATGCTTGGGCGTGCCGCAAGCGGCGCACACGAAACAGTCGCTGTGCCACATCTTGCCCGCCGCCTAGTCGCGTGGGGCGTGGGTGGAGAGGGGGCAGGTCTTGGAGGCAATGACTGCTGCTACTTGCCCGTCGATCCCGCCCGCGGTGGAGGCTTATTAGCTACGATTATTAGCCAAGCCCGAGCTAAAACGCGAATCAGCCGGAGGCTAATAACAATTATTAGGTAGGCGTCGATGATTTAATAGGCTAATAGTTTGGAGAGTGCGCCGCCTCGACGGCCTCGCCGCCGGCCGCGCCGAAGAGTAGCTCGCCTAGTACCAGTCGTACCTCCATGGTACCGAATCCAGTGTGTGGGTACAACGGATAGGAAGACAGTGAATACAGCGGAGTACAGCTGAGTACAGCGGAATGCGCGTCTCTCGAGTGCTGGTTGGGATACACATGAATTATACGTATTCCGCTTCTGGAAGCCGTGGGGGGAGTAGTTACAGTAATCGTAACTTCCTGTAAGTCTCATGCTAGTAGCTCGCCGCACCCAGCGCACGTCCTCGTGTTGTTGCTCGCCTAGTGTTCAGTAGTAGGCAACCGCAATTCCAAGGTCTACTACCTTGTCTATCATACCAGCGACTGGCGACAGGTGGAGACGACGCGTGGGGCTTCGCCCCACACACACCCGGACAGGGGCTGGGGGTTCACGCCGTCGATCTCGCCTTGGGAGCGTCGCCGCCCGCACTCTTGCCGCCTCCCGCCTTGGCCGCCCTCGCCGCCCGCAGCTGGGCGGCCATCGCCTCGGCCTCCGCCTGAGAGCTCTCAGCCGCTGCGGTGTGTAGAGAGGGGTGGGAGGGGGAAGGGGGGCGGGAGGGAGATACAGCCCGACAGAGAGACAGACAGAGACAGAGATGGGGGAGAGGGAGAGAGGGGGGTGTTTGCGATGAGATATTAGATGAGATCAGCCTCCGCCTGGAGCTCCGCCTCGACAGAGGGGCTCGAGGCAGCGGGCTTCGCCCCCTGCCCGCTCAGCACGCCCGCCCCGTCCAGCTTCTCCTTTGAGTAGCCCGCCGCCCGCAGCTCGGCGGCCGTGAACTCTTGCGCGGAGACCGTCAGCTCGGCCGGCGACGACTCGCCGCACGAGCCGAACGACTTGGCGGGGCGCTCGGCGGTCACGGCGTCGTCGCCGACTCGGAGCGCCGCCATCTTCGCCTCCGCCTCCTCTGCGTGCGCCGCCGCCTTGTCCAGCTCGCGGGAGGTGTGCCACAGCTTGCCCGTCTCCGTCGGCGGCGGCGACGGCGGCGGCGACGGCGGCGGAGTAGCGTCGAGAGAGAGATGAAGGGGGCGGGGGTCCAAGAGGCCTTCGGGCGGCGCCGGGTCCAGGGGTGGCGGCGCGGCTAGCTCGTAGTGCAGGTTGCCGCTGGAGGCGGGCTTGGCCTGCCAGGCCACGGATGCCGAGAGATTCCCCCCGCCCACTGCCAGGCCCGCCGCGCGAGCCACTTCATTGTGGAGTTCCAGCTCGCGGTCGCTCCGGCTGGCACGGCCGCTCTCGCCCGGCCACACTTCCGCCGTTTCCTTCGGCTTGACCTTGGAGGAGCGGACGCCCATGCCACAGGGAAGCGGATTCAACGCCGAGAAAAAAATACGCAGTGTTGTTCTGGAGGTTCTCGAGGTGGATATCCTTTGGCCGCGTTGGGTAGCGAGGATTGGTGTAACCCGAGCCACGGAGGCGTGTTTTCTGGCGGCCGACCGTCAGTGCACGGAGTTGCCACTTCTCCGACTGCCCCGGCTAGTTCACGAGTTTCGCGGGAGTGACCCCATGCGTCAAACCCGAGACCTAGCGCGGGTGGGTTGGAGGGGGGCTCGCTGCAGGGAAGGGCTGTGTAAGAAGCCGATCCCCGTAGTCCGCCCCGCTCCTCCCCATCGGGCCGCATGAGCGGCCACGCCTCGCAGATTCGTTTTCGCGCCTGGGTCAGGCGCGCGGGGCATCCCCCGGGTCGCTCGACCAGCGATCCGAAGAGTGGCCGCTATGCGAGGGAAAGAGCGGGGCCCACGGGGTACGCCTCCGTCCGGCCCCCTCCGAGGGGGGAAGGGAATTGCGGGGTCCCCTCGGGCGCCTCAGTTCGGCCCTCCCGAGGGGGGGGAGGGGAGCAAGGGGGTGGGGGGGTCGGGGCGGTGGGGAGGGGTCTCGGTTTCGAGGTGTGTGTGACGGCTTCCTCAGAAGCCGTCGCCCGCACCACAGGAGCAGTCACACCACTCCCACTCCGGCGCCCACCCAGACCCACTCCCCACCCCGACATCCCCAACCACACACCCCACTATCCCGCCCCACCCCGACCCGAGCAACCCCGCCCCACCCCGACCCGACCCGATCCACCCCGCCCCGCCCTGCCCCGCCCTCCCCATCGGACAAACCCGTGAGCCGCTCTTGGCTCCGCCCCCCGCCCAACCCCCACCCGCGCATGCGCCCGCCGCCCGCGCCGCCTCCCCCATGCGCGCCCGCGAAGCGAGCCGCCCGTCGCCCGCCGCCCCGCCGCCTCGCCCGCCGCCTCGCCCGGCCTTCGCGCCCGCCCGCTCGAGCACCGCCCCCGCCGGCGTTCCGACGGCCGCCGCCTCGCGCTCGCCCGCCCTCTGATCCCGTGGCCTCGCTGAAGAAATCGACGCAGCAGCGACCGCGACCGAGTAGCACCTTCGTTGTTAATAATAATACAGACGGATGGACACTTGCTGTAGCCACATGACACGCACACACTCCTTTGGTTTTTTTGCCCACCGTCGCGGCTCGCCCATCACCTCGCCTCTCCGCAGGGTCATCTCTCGCGCCGTCTGCATCTCTCTGCCGGTCGCCAGCATCCGCGCCACCGACTAGCTGCACCGCCACTCGCGACGCGCCACCCTCGCTCACAGCCTGCATACGCGCTACTCCCGCCGTGCCTTTGCTACCACATGGATCGCATGTCACTGCAACCGCAAGAGAGCCGTACGGAGTAGCGGTGCAGAGCGCGAACTCGCCGTACTGAGCCTAGCGCAGCGCGAACACGCCGTCTGAGCCTAGCGCAGCGCGAACTCGCTCCTGTTCATAGCTGCGCAACCTAGCGCGGCTTGGAGCACTTGGAGTGCAGTCAGCAATCGCACATCCAGGGCCGGGGAGCTCAGAAGCGCACCCAGCGGGCCGGATGATTGGCATCGGGTTGCGGGCATGGCCAGCCAGCCGCCGTAGTTGCACCCGTCCCAGTGCGTACCGTTGAGGTGCTCGAAGAGCGACAGCGTGCGCGGCACTCGCGCTTCGCCGATGTCGCACGGGACGCATCCCGTTAGCCTCGTGCGGTGGTAGATGCACACCGAGTTAGGGCCCACGCCGACGCAGCGCGTGGCGAGGGTGATGGCGCCCTTTGGGTGGTTGAGGTAGCCCTGCGCCTCGTGGAGCCACGCCTTGTCGTTCAGCTCGACGTCCTTGTGGACGACGTCGATGCCGAGCACCGCGCCCGCCCCGAGTTGCTTCGTCGAGCGGAAGTGCGCTCGCGTCGCCGGGTGTACCTTCGGGTCGTTGACGATAGCGTCGAACATGTCTTGCTGCAGGGCGTTGTTGGCGACGTGTTGGAAGTGGCGCCCCGAGACCTGCTCGATCCCCTTGTAGTCGACGGAGCCGTCGTCCGCGACGATCTTGTTGCGGAGGGACCTCCAGTCGTCGGCGTCGCTGTCCGGGCCTTGCTTGAAGCCCGCCGAATTGCTTACAAGCTCTTCGATGAACGCGATCGCCTCCTCGAGCATCGGCACGCCGGACGCGGCCCACTCGTTCGGGGGCGGCACCAATGGGGACACGTCCTCGAGCCGCCGCAGTCTCACACACGAGTTTGCGGCCCGTGCACACGTTTTCGCGCGGAGCAACTCACCCGCGGTGTGTATATGCCGCTCCGCGCGACCGCATTCGCCGGCCTCTGCCTCGGTCTCAAGCTCTTTGGCTTGCGCGTTGCCGAGACGGGCTGCTTCGGCCTCCTGCTCGGCAGCGGCCGCTGCCTGTCGCCGCGTGAGGCGAGCCTCGATGCTGTGTCGCTGCTCTTGCCGGCGGCCGACACGTTCGACGCGGCGACGTTCGTGCTCGCCGGCGAGGTATTCCTCGTGGTCTTCCTCGGCGCCGTCGAGATGGGGCTGGTCGAGGCGGTGGCGGAGGTGCCCGCCCAGTGGCTCGCCGCGCAGCACTTCTGGATGCTCGCGCAGGCGGCTCAGGTGGCAGCCTCGGCCCTCTTTCTCCGCGGACAGCTCGGCGCGACCGCCGGCGCCGTCGGCGCCACCGCCCTTGCGCACGCCAGCCTGGGCTCGCGCTTGGTCGCCCTCGAGCCGCTGTCGCAGGTTCACCTCAGACGGCGCACTGGTCGCCCCGACTCCTTGATTTGGGTTGTGTATCACTCGTCCTCGTTCGGGTGCAGATGCTGCTGGGAGGGCCCGTGTGGCTGCACGCGGGCCGGGCCCGCCTAGATGCACCCCGCCCGTCCACGTTGCAGACCCCCCTACCTGTCTGTGAGCCTCCGAGGCACCTTGCAGAGCAGGGTAACACTGCGCTGCACCTACACTCGACGCTACCCCTACCCCCATTCCCCCATCTCCATCCAACCCCAACCTACCCCCAACCCCAACCAACCCCAACCCCAGCCCCAACCCTAACCTACCCCCAACCCCCAACCCCAGGCTGGGCGTGGCCCCTCTCCCTCATTCACCTCCACATGGCCCTCAGCGTCGAGCCCACCGCCGAGACCGCCGCGCTGCTCGCCGCCGCCTTCGCCGCCATCGCAGCGTGCTGTGCGGCATGCGCCTAGATGCGGAATCGCTCCCCAGATCTCCCCACATCTCCCCACATCTCCCCACATCTCCCCACATCTCCCCACATCTCCCCACATCTCGACGTCTCTCTTTCGACCAGGACACGTCCCGAGACATATCCTGGACATGTCCATGTCCCATAGGCGCCCATCGTGGCGCTCGCGCTATGCGGCCCTAGCTCTGTACCATTTGCGGCAGTCGCCTGCTGGGTGCTCGCAGGCGCACCTCGGCTCATCTCGGCGCACCTCGGCGCACCTCGGCACACCTCGGCGCACCTCGGCACAACTCGGCGCACCTCGGCGCACCTCGGCTCCTCTCGGCTACCTCTCGGCTACCTCTCGGCGCACCTCGGCGCACCTCGGCGCACCTCGGCGCACCTCGGCGCACTTCGGTGCTTGCAGGCGTGGGCGAGGCGAACGCCGCCGCCGCCGCCGCCGCCTCTGGGCTCCTCTCGGCTCCTCTCGGCTCCTCGAGGGAGCGGGCGAACGGCGGCGGGCGGGGTGGGGGCGGTGGGGGCGGTGGGGGCGGTGGTGGCGGAGGAGCTGACCGCGATTCTTCAGAGAGGCTACCGGGACCGATGCTCAGCGGCGGCGACGGCGACGGCGACGGCGAAAGCGGCGGCGGCGGCGGCAGCGGTGGCGGCGGCGGCGGCAGCGGCGGCGGCGGCGCGAAGGGCGGCGGCGGGGAGGGAGAGGGTTCGCCGCTGAGAGACGCCGAGGGCGCGCTCGAGGCGGGGCAGGCCGCCCTCCCCACACACATGCACACACGCACGCACGCACGCACGCACGCACCCCCCCCCCCCCCCCCCCCACACGCGCGCCCACGCGCGCACGCACATACACACACACGCACCCACGCACGCACGCACGCACATACACACACGCACACACGCACACACACACACACACACACACACACACACACACACACACACACACACACACACACACACACACACACACACACACACACACACACACACACACACACACACACACACACACACACACCTCCACGCTACCACCCACGCGCACTGGGCCTTGCACTCTCAACGCGCGGGGCTCTCGTCTCTAGCCTTGCAATCGCGAGGGTCGCCCTGACGCTAGCCCCACCACCTCGTGCGTGTGGAGAAGCTGCCGCTCCTCCTGCAGGCCGCTCTACGCGCCAGCTGGGAGAGCGCCGATGCGGCGCGACTGGCGGCGGCGATGCGGGCGTCGCTCGCGCACGCGTCGCACGCGTGTGCCGCGCTACTCCTGTTGCTGGTGGTGGCGGGGTCGCTTTACGGGCTGTGGAGCGAGACTCACACGTGGCAGCAGTACCGGTGAGAGAGAAGGGGAGAGGGAGTGTGGACAGTCGCGCACGCGGCGCAGCGAGTGGACTAATAATTCCACAAAAAGAAAAAGACCACGCCGGAGTCACGTGAAGGATATGTTATTACTAGCCGGGGGAAGATACGGAGGTCGCACAGATAGTTTCATAGGACATACTCTAGCCGTCCCGGACGGACCCCATCCGCGGCTCCGTCGGCTCTGTCTAGGGTACCATATGCAGGGGGTCACTCCCGCGAAACTCGTGCGTGAACTAGCCGGGGCAGTCGGAGAAGGGGCAACTCCGTGCACTGACGGTCGGCCGTCAGAAACCACGCCTGCGTGGATCGCGTCACACCAATCCTCGCTACCCAACGCGGCCAAAGGATATCAACCTCGAGAACCTCTCTGCTCGGCGCAGCTGGTCAAGCGGGTGCGCATCGCCCTCGAGCCGCTCGACGGCATCATCCAGCTGCGCGACGCGCCCAGCCTCGACATCGCGCAGCAGGCGCAGCACTGCCTCATGCGCTACTGCTCCAACACCACCCTCGTCTACTTCCTGCGCACCATGCCGCCGTCCATGACCATCGAGGCGGCGCAGGAGCACGACCGGCTCATCGCCTCGGCCTTCCACCGCATCGTCGGCTCCGAGGCGGGCTCGCCGGCGCAGTGCGAGCGTGCGCTGCGGCAGGCGCGCCTCCCGGTCAAGCTCGGCGGGCTCGGCCTCACCTCCATGGCGGCGATCCGGCGAGCCGCGTGGGTCGGCATCTGGGCGCTCGTGTGGACGCCGCTTCGGCAGCTCCACGCGCCTTTCCGAGCCGTCGACATCACGGCCGAGTCGGCGGCTGACTTCCAGCAGCTCTCCATCTTCACCGAGCTGCAACTCTCGATCTCTGTCGCGGAGCCAGCTGCTCGGTGTACCAACAATGTATGTGTGTAGTAGGTAGGTAGAAAGGTGAAGAACAGCCAGGCTCGGACTGGACACCGACGCGGTATGGGTGGACGCAAGACAGATGATGACGACACTCACGAGCGACACACAGACACAAAAGCTCACAAGACACACAGCCAGCGGGCTGCCACACACCCTGAGTCGGCGTACACATAACTCAAGGCCATATCCTCCCTGTCGCCCCCCCCAGCACTCCACGGTGCCAAGAGTGTGTGTGTATGTACCAACTCTGTTCACACCGAGCAGGCGAGGGACAGTGCGGCGGTTCGAGGCTTGCCGTGTGCGCGGAGCTTACATGGAACCCGCCCGGCTTGCGCGCCTGCTAGCGGCCGCCGCATCGCTTTCGGCCGCCGCATGCGATCCGGATAGCAGCAACGAGGCGCCTCTGAGCGCTGTCGGGTGGCACGGCGCCATCGTCGCTGCCTGCCTGCTTGTCGGTGTGCTGACCTTCTTCGGCGCTGGCACTGGTACAGCTTCAATGCCGCAGCACAAAGGCCTTACGGAGGAACGCTACTTCCAGAAGCTGCTCGAGCCGGACGACGAGAGCAAGTTTTCAGGCAACGGCGACGGCTTCTCATGGAGTCAGACTGTGTCCGAGGTTGTGGTTGAGGTGCCGCTTCCGGCCGGCGCGAGGGCAAGAGACGTGGCGTGCCGCGTGCTGCCGGCCTCGCTTTCGCTCGCGGTGTGCGGCCAGGCTGTGCTGCAGGGATCGTTGCTGCGGAAGGTGCTGCCTGACGACTCGGATTGGGTGCTCGAGGATGCGCTCGGGCAGGGGGAGGGGAGGCTGCTGCGCCTCACGCTGGCGAAGAGGTCGCCCACTGCGGGGCTGCAGCACTGGACTAGCGTGCTCGCAGGTGCGTCGAGCGGGTAGACTAGCCCATGTGCACACCTGTTTTATGGACATTTCTTTATTCGTACTTCCTTCGCGCAGAGCTGAGAGAATGTTGTTGGGTTGAGAATCGTGTAAGGACTAAGGTATAAGAGTAAGGTAGAGAGCGAGTGACGGATAAAGTCGTGTGAAAGAGCTGTGAAAGCGAAAGTAGCGAAATTAATTGCCCGCCGCAGGCGAAGAAAATTTTCAGGGGTTTTGGTCTCCTACGCCAAAGAAATCGAAGATTTCGGCGGGCGCCCGACGCGCGGTATGGAGCACGCGCGCTGCCCGGCATGCCTGCAGCATCCAAACGAGACGCACGGCGTCGCTCAGCCGTGTCCACGCGGCTTCGCTCCTGTCCTAACCGGCGCCATCTGGGCGGCTGCTGCGGAGCTGCTGCCGGCGGTGCGGCAACTGGCCGACAGATACAACGCTCAGGGCACCCGCCGGCGATTCACTGGAAAGGAACGAAGGCGCCGCTGTCGGCGATTCACCGCCGTTCGTTCCCGTCTCTCAAGCTGGCTACACCGTCCATGGACGAGGGAGACGTCGCCTCCTCTTTCGTCCCGGGCACTGTTCGCGCCGGAAGGCACCGTACACTGCGAAGTACATTAGCCTTCATCTCTCCTACCGCCGGCCGGGAGTGCAGCCTTCGCCATCGCTGAGTGAGTTTATCCTCGACTTTGGCACCTGCGAAGTAATGAACAACATGCAGTACGTCATATGCAATGGCGCTATGACAGCCCTGCGATGGGCGTCCTCGACGCAGACGAGGCGGAGCTCATCTGCACGGCGCAGATCGCCGACTTTCTCTCTCTCCCTGCGCGGGTGGTTGCACCACCCTGGATGAGGCATATGGGCTGGGCAGGGGAGTTGGTAGAGGAGGTCGACTGAGGGCGCGAGGCCGCCAATCGTCACAGTCTGCTGCTGACTGTCGGTCGCTGACTGGTTGCGCATTGCGCTGGCCGCGCAGCGGCCTTTAGAAAATTTTGGCCGCAGGCCTAGGTTTTGAAAGATCAAGAGAATAAGCGCCGGTGAGTCTTTCAGAAGCTGCCGTTTGCGGCTTCCTAAGTCAATTTTTCGAGAGGAACGTTTTGGCTGAGCTATAACGGCTCCAAAGTCGCGCGATCATCGAGTTTTGAGTCAATAGTTATGAAAGGAAAGGGCTGGCGAGAATTATAGCTCAGCCAATCGATTCAGCGTGCTCTGAAACGCCCAAAACCGTCGAGTTTTTCACCGTGGTCCAAACAGAGAGCTTATGGCAATGCCATTTGATGTGGTAATAAAACACGGACCGAGGCAGGGAGGCCTGACCGGCTGTATTCCTGGAAGCTGTGACTCAGCTGCCGTGGCCCCGTGAGGTCCAGCACCCACACCTCCTTGTGCTTGGGCAGGAGATCCATCACGTTTCTCCAGTACACGCGCCAAAACGGATGGCCCGGCACCGACCCCATGAAATAGTTTCCTCGAGAATGCGTGGAATTCAGGGAGCGCACATTGGGGTTCTGGGAGCGTGGTGCAGTCAGCTGCTGTCTCTTCGAGTCCAGCTCTGTCTCACTAGGCAGCAGCAGCTCCGTGGCGTTGTCCGCCCAGCCCGGCGCGGAGAACGACACGCCGGGCTGGCACTCAATGTCGTGGTCGAGGTAGATCCCGCCGTGGACATATAGGATGACGATCCGGGCTATATCCCAAAGCTTGCGGGGGTCCAGCAACTTCTTGTATTCCTTCATGAACTCGGGAAAATAGGCGTCCATTAGCGCGAAGCACTCCTCGTCGGTCCACACCTTCACCTCCCACCCGGCGTTGCTCCCACGAATAGTTTCGACGGCTTTGAGGATCTTGCGCTGTTCTTTGCCATCAGGGTCCTCTCCCTCGCCAAACGAGAAGTTCTTATTCGGCCAGGTGTAGTGCAGCACGTGCGGAATGGTCTTGCGCGGGGGAGTTCCGTCTAGTCTTTTTTCCACACTGGGAACCCTATCTCATGAGAGCCAGGCTCGTGGGGCTAGCGCTCGCGCTCTCTCTCGCGCTCGCGGAGGCGGCGGCGCCCAGCCTGCTCAGCCTCGGCCTGGTGCTGTCGGCCGCGAGCGCCGCCTCGGCGCAGGCAGACGACGCCGACGCCGCCGCGCCTCTGGATACGGACGAGGCTGCAGAGGAGGTCGCCGCGGCGGGCGACTTTGAGGAGGCCGACGCCGCAGAGGAGGCGGCTGAGGCGGCGGAGGAGGAGGCGTCTGCGCCCGCGCCCGCGCCCGAGCCCGAGCCGGAGCCCGCCCCGCCTCCGAAGTTCGAGCCGCCGCCGACCGCGTCGCCGGCGGTCGTGCGGACGTGGGTGGAGGCTGCGAAGAAGGCGCTGCCGGCGGCGGCGGTGGCGGCGTCGGGGTTGCTGCTCGTGAGTCGGATCGGCGGCGGCCTCTCCTCCGGCGACGGTGGCAAGGTGTACAAGGTCCCGCGCGCCGTGCGGAAGGCCGGGGCGCCGGCAGCGGTGAGCTCCACCTCCTCTCCTCCCCTCCTCCCCTCCTCCCCTCCTCCCCTCCTCCCCTCCTCCCCTCCTCCTCTCCTCCTTCTCTCCTCTCCTCTCCTCCTCCTCCTCCTCCTCCTCCTCTCCTCCTCTCCTCTCTGCACCTCCTCCTCTCTGCGCCTCCTCTCTCCTCCATTCCTCCTCTCCTCCTCGCCCGCCGCCACCTCCCCGCCACCTCTTCACACCCTCCCACCGTGAACAGGTGCCTGACTCAGCCACAGCAGAGGAGGAGGCGCCGAGCGATGGTCCACCGGCGGCGTCCGGCACCGCCCCCCGCCTAGAAGCGCCACATGCGCGGGGGAGAAGTTCGTCCGAACCTTCTCGGAGCCTTCCTGCAGGCACCTGGCTCGACCGCCAGATCGACCGAGCCTTCTACTGGCTCTCGCAGCGCTTCGGGAAGAAGTGAGGCGGCGGCGGGGGGGAGGGCGCTCTCCGTGCGCGCCGCACGCCACCACGCGCACCCCACCCGTCAGACAGCGCAGCAACAACGGCTGCGGCGGCGGCGGCGGGGCCGCCGGGGGCCGTTGGAGCAGGAGGCCGGGCGGGCTGCGGCGCGACCGGGCGGGGTCGCGGCGCAGCCCGCTGGCAGAAGCTTGGGCCGGCAGCTTTGGGCGCGAGATGTGGCGGGATCTACACAGTTTGAGAGAGAAGACCGGGCGCGCATGCGTACCTGAGGTTGCTTTAAAAGGCCATCTCTTTGCAGATTGCACACCTGGGAGGTCACTCTCGAGAGACTCGTTGCCTCTAGCCTCTTGCGTGAAGCACAAGGGGTGCACAACCAAGGGCAAAAAAGTGGAAGCCTGATCATTCTCTCCTCCTCGGCCTTCTTTGCGGCCTCGGCTGCGGCTGCCTCGGACGGCTGCCTCGGCACCCTCCTCTCCGTCTCCTGCGATGGCCCAGCTCCGCCCGCCCCGCCGCCCTTCATCTTTTTCTTGCCCTTCTTGCCCTTGGCGCGCTTCTCCGCTTCGACCTCCGCCAGCAGCTCCTCGGCGTGCCGCGCCGCCTCATTCTCCCCCACCGCCCTCTCCGCCGCCCTCGCCGCCGCCTCTGCAGCCGTCGCCGCCTCCTTCGCCGAATTCTCGGCCGCCGCATGCTCCCCAAAAGCTCCGCCCCGTGCCGCACCAGCAGCTCGGCCACCCGCTCGCGGCCTCGGTCGGCGGCGTACATCAGTGCGGTGACGCCGACGCGTTTTGAAGGTCGATCGAAGCGACACGCTGCAGCAGCGCCGCGGCCAGCCGCCCGTTGCCGTAGAAGGCGGCGACCATCAGCAGCGTAAAGCCGCTCACACCCGCAACAGTGAAAGTCGCATCGACCCGCCCGCCGCCGTCGAGCCACGCCAGCACCGCCGCGTCGTCTTGCTTAGCCGCCTCCACGACCTCCTCGGGGACGGCGCCTCGCCCGTTCCGCTCTCCACGCCGCCAGGAAAGGACGCGGCAGTTGGTGCCGCCGCTGCCCCTTGCTCGAGGCGGCAGGGCCGTCCGCCCCTGCGCCGCCCGCCTCGCCGATGTCCTCGGGAACAGGCCCGCTGCTGCCTGCCCCCGCGCCGCACGAGCGCCGCCGCGTCGCGCCTCTCCGCCGCCACCTCGCCGAGAAACGTCTTGACGGCGGCGACGCACTCGGTGTGGCCCTTCTGCTTGGCGATCGTCAGCGCTGTGTGGCCGTTCGCAGTGCGCAGCGCCATGTCTGCGCCCGCCCGCAGCAGGCGGAGCACGACGACAGAATGGCCGTAGACGGCGGCGGCTGTGAGCGCAGTGCAGCCGCTAACGTCTTGCAGGTCGACCTCTGCCCCGTGCTGCAGCAGCAGCTCCGCCACCTGCAAGTGGCCTTGGTAAGCAGCGAACATCAGCGCGGTTCTGCAGCCGCTGTCCTGAAGGTTGATCTCCGCGCCTGCTGCAGCACTCGGCCACCTGCACGTGGTCATTGACGGCGGCGGCCATCAGCGCCGCAGGGCCTTTGCTATTTTGCGCGTCCGGCTTCGCGACCCGCTTCAGCAAAAGTTCGACCAGCTGCTTGTGATCATTGGCGGCGGCGATCAGCAGTAGCGTCCAGCCACTCAAGCTGCCGCACGCACCTCGGTGTCAAACCAGCCCATCCACCGCCCGTGTGCCCGCCGTGTTTGTTTGAGCACTTGAGCACTGGATAGGGTCGATTCCGCATGGTACGGGACCCCTCGAGTATGACTCGAGAATCAAAGTGGAACAGGTTGGAACATCCTGAGCACGGCGCCGCAGGCGCCTGTTGATAGGTCCAGATGATAGTCCTGGATGGGCAATGCATACGCCTAGTCGGGCCTCAGATCGCCCGACCGACCTAGGAGTGCGACCCTCCGTCACCGCCACCGCCGTCGGCATCGCCTTCTCTTCCGCCTATCACTGGAGCCGGCTGGTACAATGGCCTCTGCTCCTGCTGCGCAAACGAGGTGGCCGACGATGTCAACAAGACTGACCTGTGCGCAAATGCCGCGGTCAACTTCACGTGCCCCAAGACGTGCGGTGGCGAGGCAGACGAGGACAACTGCTGCTCCCTCTTCGGACACATTGCATTGAAATCCATCAAGGCTGATGTGCGCCAACCGCCCCCGCCACCCCCCGCCCCCCGCCCCATCGCCCACATCACCTGTTGTCCATGCCGCACTGAATCGCAGAACTTCGGAAGGAGCCTCAGCGTCCCACTGAACGACGACGAGCTACAAGAGGCCATGGAGGCAGTGTCAGTCGATGAAGAAGACTTTGAGGCGATGCTCGACGAGAGCATCTGCGAGCTCTTTCCCACGAGCGAGGAGCAGGAGGCCTTCAAAGACGATGCGGTGGGCCAGATCTATCCGCTGGCCTGCTTCAAGCGCGGCGAGACGGATATCTCGCGGATTGCGGGAACGAACGATGAGGACCTAGGCCGCCGCCTATTCCAGGCGGAGGAGGCAAGGCTTCCCGTTGAGGCGGCATCAACGCCGCGCGGCATCAACGACACGTTTGACAGCTCGCTCGCCCGCTGCTCTTCTGCGGATCGGCCCACAAGCACACAGGACGCCGCCCCGCCATGCGTCGAGGTAGTGGTGGGAGGCTTGGGGCAAAAGGGCATCCTTGCCGACAACGGACTGGCCCTCACATGCGTCTCCCTCGTGACGGTGAGCCCGCCCCCTGAGACGGCGCTTGCGACCATGTGTGACTGGGCCAAGGTGAAGGAGCTTTGCCCGGAGAGCTGCGCTGTCGCGGACGAAGAGGCGGTAGAAAGAGCCGAGCTGGAGGAGGCGATCGGCATGCTGGAGCAAATGCGGCCCGCGAGCGAGGTTGAAGACGACGACTGGACGGCAAAGTGGACGCGCGCAGAGGAATGCAACGACACACCCGATGAGCTGCTCGCCCCGGAAGCGAAGCGGCTAGGGCTGCTGGCGGAGAGTTGCGCGGATTTGCTGTTCCTCGGGGGGTGCGATTTCAACGTCGTCAAGGGCTTGTGCCCAAAGTCCTGCCGCGCGTGCTTCGGGTCGGACGAGGCTCACCATCGCGATCGTCGTCAGCTGAAAGCTTTCTGTTGAAGTGGTCACGAAGTTTCTGTTGCGGGCGGCTGACATCAGCTAATTACGGTCCCTCGAGGGGTGTTTGAGGACTCCGTGCTCGTCGTGCGTGGAACCCCCGCGCCCCCTTTCACATTTGGAAAAAAGAACGCCTTCTTGAAGTAAATATAACCACTGTTTTCTTCATTCAGAGCGAGACAACGACCGAAAATGGGCAAAAACGGGGTGATTTTGGTCGTCTGTCAAAATATCTGAAGCTCTGAATGGGGGATTCTCCCCAAACCTTGCTCAGCTGATCCAGCATGGGTCGTAGGCCAGGCCTGGGCAAAGAAACCAGTACCTCAACCGGCTTCCCTGAGCGTCACAGCTCGGTGATCGCGCCGGCCGCGGACACCACTGTAACGTCCGTTCCGGGCATTTGAACGCGACCTTCGGGGGCAAAGACATGGGCTCTATGGCTCAGACTGGACTCCTCTTGGTCCCTTCTGATGCCCTAGGCCACACCTGGGCCTTACCTGGTGCTCTAGGGGCCGGGCAGGGTTTGCCCCCCGAAACTGGCACGCGTTCCGATATCCGAATTCTTCCAACGGGCACCGCTTCGGCCAGGCAGGGCGGTAGTAACATGGAAGACGTAACCGAGTGTACAACACGCTGGAAACGCGCGGCGCGCCCCGCTGACAGCTGACTGCACACACGTCTCACGTGCGGCGCGGCGCGACCAGAAGCACTGCTGGGTCAGCTGCGCCTCCCTGCGGTCCGCCCCATGGCCGCACACTCGTGCAACGCACATGCCGTCTGAGCCCTCCTTCCTCCACTGCTCGATCCACCACGGCCCTCGGCACACCTTCTCCCCGCCCTCCCGGCCGACTGCGAGCCGCCGCCGCCGCCGGAGGCGATACGCTTCGGGCGTGGGCAAAGGCAGGGGCAACACGCCGCGGCGGCGCCTCACAGGAAGTAGGGCACGTTGGAGAGCTGCCCTCCGCCGCCCGCTGCCTTGGTCGACTCCACCTCTTTGAAGATCTTGAAGTTGCGCACCAGCTGGTCGTCGAGCGCCAGGATGCACGCGTCGTTGCCGCAGCGGTAGCAGTAGTTTGGCGCCGACCAGACGGTCACGAGGCTCTCCTCGAACATGTACTTGTAGCCCTCCTGCACCAGCTGGTGCGCCCGGCAGATGAGCTCGAGCCCATTGATTGCGTTGAACTCATGCGTCACCTTTTGGCCGAAGAGCCACCCCGCACCGCGCGGCGACACTGCCCACGTGTCGATGTCGTCCGGATCGGACCACATCAGGTCGCAGAAGGCGCCTACAAATAAAGAAATACCCGGGGGACAAATCAAGACATGCCCCGGGCCGGACCACATCAGGTCGCAGAAGGCGCCTACAAATAAAGAAATACCCGGGGGACAAATCAAGACATGCCCCGGGCCGGACCACATCAGGTCGCAGAAGGCGCCCTCATGCGGAATCTCCTGCTTGCGGTCGATCAGCCGCATCTGGTCGATCGTCCGCACCTCGGGGGCGAGAGAGGTGGGGAGGTGTGGGGAGATGTGGGGAGATGTGGGGAGGTGTGGGGAGATGTGGGGAGGTGTGGGGAGGTATGGGGAGGTGTGGGGGGATATGGGGAGATATGGGGAGGTATGGGGAGATATGGGGAGATCGCACCTCTGGCGAGAGGCCTCCGTGCACGCAGAGCACTCGCCTTGCGGAGGCCGGGCATAATAATAGTAATAATAATAATAATAATAATAATAACAATAATAATGGGTGTCGGGCGTAGCCGCTCGGCCGTGCCTTGCCATGTGTGCGTGCTGGCCCCGCGGCGTGGGACTTGTGCTGGACATCGGAGTGTGCTGCCGCGTGCGTGCCCCCTCGCCGCGGAGTGTGCTGCCGCGTGCGTGCCCCCTCGCCGGTGTCTACACTCTGTCCACTGTGTCCACTTTAAGGGCACTCGCCCGTCGACGATCGCGGCGAGCGGGCACCAGTCAAAGAGCTCCGTGCAGTACCTCCACGGGCGTAGCTAATCAATTGACATGAACTAACTGGCTCATTAATTCAGGTCAGAGAGCTCCGTGCGCTACCTCCACGGGTTTAATCAATCAATTAAACGTACTCATTCAGTTGATTGACTAATCGATTCAGGTCAAGGAGCTCCGTGCAGTACCTCCACGGGTGTAATCAATCAATTAAACGTACTCATTTAGTTAATTGACTAATTAATTTTACCTCCACGGGTTCGTGTTTCCGTACTTGCGCTGGCACTAATAATAATTAATTGACTGATTAATTTTACCTCCACGGGTTCGTGTTTCCGTACTTGCGCTGGCACTAATAATAATTAATTGACTGATTAATTTTACCTCCACGGGTTCGTGTTTCCGTACTTGCGCTGGCACTAATAATAATTAATTGACTGATTAATTTTACCTCCACGGGTTCGTGTTTCCGTACTTGCGCTGGCACTAATAATAATTAATTGACTGATTAATTTTACCTCCACGGGTTCGTGTTTCCGTACTTGCGCTGGCACTCGTCGTAGAAGCCGTACACCTGCGAAAAAAAACCCCCCGTGTCAAAGCCGCGGGTTTTCTTTTTTCGTCGTAGAAGCCGTACACCTGCGTGATCTGCCTCGACTCGTGGTTGCCCCGCAGCAGCGTGATCCGGTGCGGCCAGCGAGCCTTGAGGTAAGGTAAGGTAAGGTAAGGTAAGGTAAGGTAAGGTAAGGTAAGGTCAACTTCTCCACACACACGAGGTGGTGGGGGCAAGGGCCAGGCTAGTCCCTCGCGACTCCACGTCTAGACGACAGGAGCCCCACGGCATGCAAAGTGCAAGGCCCGGAGAGAGTGGGTGAGCTGGTGTGTGTGTGTGTGTGTGTGTGTGTGTGTGTGTGTGTGTGTGTGTGTGTGTGTGTGTGTGTGTGTGTGTGTGCGCGTGCGGGCATTGAGCAGCAGCAGCAGAGTCATCGTCTCGACCGAGTTGTAGCCGCGGTCGACGAAGTCGCCCATGAAGATATAGCTCGTCTCCGGGCAAGCGCCTGACCGCGACCCCCGACGTGTCAGCACACGGACTCTCTCTCTCTCTCTCTCTCTCTCTCTCTCTCTCTCTCTCTCTCTCTCTCTCTCTCTCTCTCTCTCTCTCTCTCTCTCTCTCTCTCTCTCCCTCTCCCTCTCCCTCTCTCTCTCCCTCTCTCTCTCTCTCTCTCTCCCGCCACACACACACACACACACACACACACACACACACACACACACACACACACACACACACACACACACACACACACACACACACACACACACACACGCAGATCGGGGGCGCAGCCTCGCGGCGCGATCGCCTCCGCAGTTGAACAGCTCCAGGAGGTCGTGGAACTGGCCTACCAAATGGCCGGCTAACCTAAGAGCTCCCGCGGCGGGCGCCCGAGCCGGCGGGGGGGGGCGGGCCTATTAGTTCAGCAAGTAGAGCGGGTGAACCGACGCGGCTCCGTGGCAGCTCGAGGCCGCTCGTGGGGTCTGGCCGTGGATGTCGCCGCAGATGGTGACGGGCGCCTACAAACAAAGAAATACACGTTCATTTAGTGGCTAAGTATTTGGTGTAGCTCATGTCGCACCACGGGGCCTACAAACGAAGAGATGCACGGGACATAAAAGAAAGGCTGCGAATCGCGTCTGGCTCATGTCGTACCACGGCGCCTACAAACGAAGAGATGCACGGTACATAAAAGAAAGGCTGCGAATCGCGTCTGGCCCCCCATGTCGTACCACGGCGCCTGCACCGGCTGCACCGTCGACTCTTCCAGCATCAGCTCCTGCACATACCTGAGTCGGAATTGGTTTCCAGGTCAACGTCCTCCGCACTTGCCCGACTCGCCATGAAGATGGAGTGCCCGCCCTCCGCCACACTCCCCCCGAGGTGTGGGCAGTGCAGGGCTGGGGCGTGGCCTTCGCTTGGAGAAGCGTCGCGGCAGTGGAAGGTGGGTTTCGGAAGCGTCTCGGAAGCGTCTCGGGTGTCGCCCTCACTCGCACAGGTGCTTGAGGTCTAGCTCGGGCAGCAGCTTGCACTGCTTGATGTCCTCGATCCAGCGGTCCAGATCGCCGCCCATCGCTACGGGGGCGGGCGGGGCTGCCGCTCACGAGGCCGGTGGGCGGATGGGGCGCGGCGGCGGGCGAGCGAGGCAGGCGAGGTGTGCGGGTCTGTGGCGCTCAGTGGTGCTGGCGGACGCTGCCGAACTTGGCGCCACGGCGCCCTCAGTGTCGCCGACCGACAAGCCGGCCCTCGCCGCACGCACGGCGAGGCCCAACGCGGCTGGCGGGGCGTGCACTCGGCGGGGCGGAGCGGCCGGCGTCGATCGGGAGCGCGCTGGAGTGGGGCAACCGGAGTGGGGCAACCGGGCGCGTGGAGACGCGGCGCGCGCGCCGGCGAAGCGAAGCTAGGCGTACAAAGCGCAAAAAAAACGGCACTTTTTCGGTGCTGGTAGCCCCCCCAAAACAGGCGCGCGCAGCGCGCCCAGGGGCGCCGCAGGCGCCCCAAGCGGCGCGGAGCGCCGCCGCAGGCGGCGGACAGCAGGTGCGCGAAATTAAACGCCATTTTCGGCTCCGCGGTTTTGCCACTAACATTGAAATCCGGTACAAAACGACTTAGCCGAAACAACAGACAGACAGACAGAGAGCACACACGTTCGAGACGGGGGTGCGCCGACCACCGTCGCGGACCCAGTAGAGCTAGATGGTCCCACATGATGCGCCCTTAGCCTCTGAGCTCGTCCTAGACGTTTTAGGGAAGCGTGGGCAGACCAGAACGCGGCCATGGCGACGCTCCGAGGCTATCAGCAGCGCTGGCGGCGATCGTGGCGACGGCGCCTCGCCGCTGCAGCGGCACAGAATCGAGGAAGTGGCGTTGGTGGCAGCATCAATGAGATATGAAGGCGGCCGTAATGCTGGTGGCGCCTTCGAGGGCGGCGGGGAGGGCGGTAGCAGCGACGGCGGTCGAGTCATGTGGCAGGGGTGGCAAGATGCAGCAGGGAGGCTTGAGTTAGCGACGCGGGGCGGTGGCGTGCCAGCAGGTAAGCGGCGGCGGCGGAGAGCAGGTGCGCGAAATAAAGGCCAATCTTGAGATATCCATTTTGCACCACCTTTGGATTTCTGGTACAAATTGACTTGTGGATCTTGAAGGCACGCGCAAGAGCGCACCAGGCAAGTTGACTCAACCTCGGATCTCGCTGCCGCTAAGCGTGGCGTCGATTATCAAACGAGCGGTGACAGTAGCGGTGGCAGCGGCGGCAGCGTCGACAGGAGCACCTACTGCAGTGTCAAATGTGAGCTGGGAGGCGGGAGGCAGATGCAATAGGAGCGGGAGAGTGAGATCGTCAGCCAGCAAGGCAGACCTTTACGGCGCGGCTGCGGGCGCGTTTGCAGTGACATGCGATCCATGTGGCAGCAAAGGCACGGCGGGAGTAGCGCGTATGCAGGCTGGTGAGCGAGGGTGGCGCGTCGCGAGTGGCGGTGCAGCCAGTCGGTGGCGGGTGCTGGCGACCGGCAGAGAGATGCAGACGGCGCGAGAGATGACCCTGCGGAGAGGCGAGGTGACGGGCGATCCGCGACGGTGGGAGAGGGCTGAGCATCGCCATGTCTCGCTCCGGCACCATCTTGCCGAAGCGCAGGCCCGGGAAGGCGGTGTTTTTGATGTAGCGGAGCCGCGCCGTGTCGTGCTTGTTGTACCGCCCTTGGCGGCCGGCGTAGCGCTGGTGCACACCGTGCAAGATCGACTGCAGCTCGAGCTGGTGGCTGACGATGTCCTCGCCGCTCTGCAGCGCCGGCGACAGGCACATGGCGCCAGCAGAGGAGATCTGCGAACAGGGCGAGTCGACGCTGGCAGGTCAAGCAGCGTCGACTCGCTACCAGCAACGAATGGGTACCCTCCCCAAAAAAACGTCCGGCGTTCCTCGTTTTTTTTCTTTGTACGCCAACTCTCCTGCGGCGCGCGCACTTGAAGACGCCGTCACCAACTGTCATGCGGCAGGTTGCTTGCTCTGGCTCGCTGCCACCGCGGTGGGTCACCAAGAGCTTCTCCGCGTGCGGCGTCATCACCACGCGACGCGCTCGCCACGCCTCACCCGGGGCAAAAGGAATGAGCGCGCGCCGCCGCCGCCGCCGCCCGCCGCGCCGCGCCGCGCCTCGCCTCGCCTTGCAGCAGCGCACGCGCACACGCTGAAATGGTGCGAGCTCCCTCTCTCTCTCGTCTCTGTCTCGTCTCTCTCTCCCTCTCTCTCTCTCTCTCTCTCTCTCTCTCTCTCTCTCTCTCTCTCTCTCTCTCTCTCTCTCTCTCTCTCTCTCTCTCTCTCTCTCTCTCTCTCTCTCTCTCTCTCTCCCTCTCTCTCTCTCCTGTCGCGGGTGCAGGCCGCCGTCATTGAGGACCGCCAGTCGAAGACGCTGCTGACCGACGAGACCTTGCAGCGGCTGCGGGCGCTGCGGCAGCGGCAGTGGCAGAAGGCGGCGGCAGACTTCAACAAGCGCCAGGACGCAGCAAGTGCGCGAGCCGACGCATCAATCGCAGCATGGCTCGCGGCTCACAAGGAGCGCGTCGCGCTCGGCATGACGACCGACGGTGGGACCACCACCGACCACTGCGACACCGAAGGTATGACCGAGGAGGTTGCGGCCGAGAACGCACCACCGCTGGTGAACGGAAACGGCTACGTTTGGGCCGAGAGCTACGGCGGCCGCCCCGGCTGGGTTCTCTGCATAGAGTAGGGCCAGGAGCCGCCGGCGTCAGGCGTGCGAGGCCCGGCTCTTGCGCACAGAAGCGAGCGGAGCGAGCCGAAGAGAAAATTTGAGGGGTACTTGCATGTAGAGCTCTACGTCCCTGTCTTGACTCTTGAGCTTTTGACAGCAGGACACGAGTGTTATACACAGTCGGCACGTATTCCGTTCCGCGCGTGCCCCGCTGAATACAAATACCGTTCGGCTGATTTATAAGATCCGCGAGACCTCGAGAGAGTAGTGCCGAAGGCGCTCTTTTTGATCGAGGCGGGGCTTCGGCTGGCTATCTCGGTGTCCTCTTCATATAGATATCCAAAAGCGCGCGTCACATTCCCCTCCACCCAGGCCGACGGTTCCCCTCGACGTCGCCAGGTCCCTCGCCTTTCCCGTTCCGCTCGCGCTTGCCCCGCCGCGTCGACGCACATATGGCCGCGGGGAGCTGCACGCCCGAGCGGCGCGACGCCTCCTGCTCACGCAACCCGCCGCTCCCTCTCCGCTCCCACCATGCGATGCGCTTCGCTTTGGCCCACGAGCGTAATCTGCTACGCCCCTCTCGGCCTCACAATGCCTGCCACCTCCCGTTCGCAGGTGAGGCTGCTGCCATCGAGGAGCCGCGAGACGCGGCCGCTGCAGCTCGTTTCCCACCCTTACACCGAGCGAACCCGCCCGATGGCCCCCACTCTTTTCCGGCGAGAGAGCGACGCAGCCCGCTCGCTTGCCAATCGCTGCCCGGCTCCAGTCCGAGCGCCGAGGACACGAGAGAGTGTGCCGGTCGTCGCGACGCTAACGCCGCGGCGTGCTGCCCGTAGGTGCGGCCTTTCTGCCGGCCAAAGCCCGCTCGCTCGCTCGCCGCCCGGCTCCAGTCCGAGCGCCGTGGACGCGTGAGAGTGTGTCGGCAGCTATCACGTTGTCGTTGCGACGCTCACGCCGCGGCGTGCTGCCCGTAGGCGCAGCTCTACTCTCTCAGGCTCGAACCTTCCCGGTCAACAAGCTTGCGTTAGTCCTGCATCGCGCAGCAGACGCCTTGATTTCCTTTTCTGTCTTTTTAGGCGAGGTTGCCCGAGTTTGCCCGAGATTTTATTATATGCCTTCATAGCCCGCATGATCCCTCATAAACAAAGGACATCTTCTTTGACTCTCTTTCACACGGTTGTGATCGCGTAGGCGTGTTCCTTCCGCTGCGCTGCCGCTGCGCGCGCAGAGGTTCCGAGATCTCTATTAGGGACTAATCACAATTTAGTCACACGTGTCAAGTCTGTGGCAGTTAGCCATTCTCAGTAACAGGGCGCCTATGACTAATTACTACTTGATCATTCATTCTCACTCATTCAAAAGCCGCGGCTGTGGTAGATGTCATTCAATTTCACTCGTCATTGACAGGTTGCGCTCGTGCGCCTATGACTACTTAATCATTCGTTCTCACCCATTAACAGGGTACACTCTCCACGCACATCTCATGCGCCGATGCCGAGTTACTTAGTCATTCATTCTCACTCGTTCACAAACTTCGGCTGTGGTAGTTACTCATTCATGCACTCGTGCCGATGGCTAATTTCTACAGGCACTCATTCTCAGCCGATCACACATGGTATCGCCCCCATCGACGCCGCCGGTGCTCTGCGAGGACGGTTCGGACTTAAGCGACGGCAGCGGCGGTGGCGGGGGAGGAGGAGGAGGCCGAGGAGGAGGGGGAGGAGGGGGAGGAGGAGGATGCCCCCAAGGGAAAGCTCAAGGAGCAGCCTGGCGATTACCCCTTTGCGCGGCAGCAGGATTGCGATCTACGTTTGTTTGATTTTGAGGCTTTCGGAGGCTTTGGAAAGGAGGTTCGCAGCACCCTGAGGGAGGCGGCGAACCAGCTGAGCAACAAACTTTCGCACGCTCAGCACCTGGACGAGGTCACATGGACCACCAAGAACTGGCACGGGCTGCAGATGCAGCGCTTGTCTGTCGTCCTCCACACCGCCGTGGCGTGGCAGACGGTGAATGAACGAGCTAGCGTGCGGGGAGAGCGGCATTGTGCATGGTGCGGAGTGCATTGCCGTTCTTAACGGAGTCGCTTAGGCGGCTCCGGTGGTGAGCCTGTGTGTGTGCCAGTCCGCGCCAGTCTGCGCCCTTGTCGTGCCAGTGTGCTGTGAGAGAGGCTTGTATCAAAAAAGAATTCTTCTTTCGTCGAGCGTGCAGTCATGGCCATGACTCGCGTAGACAGTAGAGCTGGCGCTGCCATGGAGCCCGTCTCAAAGAACGCTCAGAAGCGCCGCGTCAAGGCGGAGAAAGCGGCTCTGAAGAAGGCTGAGAAGGCCGCGCGTGCCGCCGCTGCCGCGAGAAGCGCGTGTGCCAGCACCGC